ATATTTCCTTGTCTGACATACCGTGCAGATTGTAGCAGGAACCAGGAGTGGGCGGAGTGTGGGGGTTGTGCGGTTGCGTCTGTTGTGTGGTATGCCGTGTTTGTAGTGTGGTCTATTATGTAATGGTGCTGTGGTGTTTGTGTTGAGCTGCTCAGGTGGACTGGGGTTAGCCGTGTAGGCTGCTCTGTTTGAGCAGCAGGGGCCACAAATGATGTGGTCCACTAGCGATGGGTCCTTAGTCCTGAGCAGACTCTGAGGTGACTCCACCCTCCGCAAGCATTGCACTTGACTGAGGTGGAGTTGTGGTGTAGTCAACTCTGGCATACACAGCAGGTGTAAGTTTCTGGCCCTGGGTTTGACTCGATGCCAGCCCTGAGCAGAAGAATATGTAGCAAATGTAGCCCTATGGACGAACAACTTCTGAGATACTTCGCCGACCTAAACGTGGTTAGATTGCCGAAACAACAGTCCTTGGTTTGGTAAAACCCGAATCATTCCGGTACGTAGAACCGGCTGTCGTGGTAATGTCTGCCCTGAATTGTCCTATCCTCCGCCTGCTACTTTTTATACTGCTCTCACATACATACGGGAATTTCCACCGCCGTTAGGTTTTTTCACATATAGCACATCTTAGCATGGTGGTTGAGGTTACCGCAATTATGGTACTTCACCCCTTCTGCTGGGCATTTGTATTAATGAAACGTTCCAAGTTTGGTACAAGGAACGGCCTGCACTTTTTTTTGTTGTGCTGCGTAACTGCGTAGTTACCTTTTCTGTTACGGATAACTGCTATAAACTTTTCAGTAACTGCGAAGAACGTAGGTGACAAGGGACAACTAGCTATAATTGTAGCGAAAGTGAGTAACAGAGGCATGCCTTCTCTTTTCATCCAATTAAAAACGTACTAGGGCTGTTGCTCACTTTCGCTACAAGTATAACGAATTGTCCCTTCTTGTTATCTACGTTCTTTGGTGTCTGCATCCAATTCGGCTGATTTTTAAGTCTACTTCGCTGAGTAAGCGTTCTTTAACACTTATAAACTTCGGCAAAAGCCCGCACACAAAAATGTCTTATTATATCTTAAAGTTTTAAATTAGCATGATAGGCTAAGGTTCTTTAAAACAGTTACGAATTATTCAATTGTCTCTTCTTCAGCTTGCTTTCTGGAGAAGAACTGGTATCTCTCCACAATCACATTCACTTTAGGCACGAATTAGTCGTTACAACTTTTAAGGGGTTCATCGTAGCCAACCGTATGAATGTCATAGTTGAACAAGTTAAACACTAAGAGCGAATCAAGTCCTATGTGGTGCAGTAATAGTGCCACCTTTGGCTGGTCGGTCTGGTCCCGCTGCACGCATGAACGCATTTTTTCAGTTATTCCATGCTACTGACAAATTGGTTGCCTTTAAATCCAATGGGAAACTGTTGTAGCCATGCTGACGACTTTACTGCATTCTGCCGTTGTTTGCCTTTTCTCTGTGGGTATGATGAAAATATTTATTTATTTCTTTATTTGATTTTAATACATATACGTAAATCAAATTTTGATGAAAACTAAATTTTATGAAACATTTATTTCAGATCTTAATGAAAGGGATGACGAGTACAAATATGTGGGTCCCTATAACCCTAAAATAATGATCACTACATCACACACCCCTTCTGTAAAGCTAAAGATGTTTGTAAAGGAGTTGAGGCTGATCTTCCCCAATGCACAACGAATGAATAGAGGCAAACAGGATTTAAAACAATTAATGAGAGTATGCTGCTGCAACGACGTGACAGATGTTATAGTTGTTCACGAAAACCGAGGAATCCCTGATAACGTCGTTATTAGTCATTTGCCAAACGGTCCCACAGCATTTTTCAATATTTCAGATGTTGTCATGCGCCATGACGTTCCTTTTGTTAGCAATATGAGTGAACAAAATCCCCATTTGATTTTTCACAATTTCAAAACTAAAATAGGTGAACGAGTTACAACTATATTGAAACACCTCTTTCCCACTCCAAAACTGGATTCCAAACGGGTTATTACGTTTGGTAACCATGATGATCATATATCTTTTCGTCATCATCTATTTAAATATGAGAACAAAAACTTGGAGCTAGAAGAAGTAGGACCCAGGTTTACACTTAAATTGTACCAAATTAAATTAGGAAAATTAGATGAAATTCCTGCGTCTGACACAGAGTGGATATTAAAACCTTATATAAACACATTTATAAAAAATCGAGTTTTATCGCATGAAAATGGTTGGCCTATAAACGAAAGTTAACTGTATTTATTCATATCGCTAATTTACTTCAATACAGTCATAATAAAAAAATGCCAAAATTAGATACAGTATACAGAAATTACCGCTACCTTTTCTATGTTGTGTAAAAATTCACTTGCATCACGCTGCATCGTTTACTAGTATCTCACTAGAACAAAATATGTATCCATTTTTACTATGGGAGTAAGTACATCGACGGCTGAGTGGAAGATCGACCTATCTCGGCAGCCGGTTCAAAAACGCCCTATCTCACAAAACTTTCCCAGAACGCCATACTTCAGAATTTGGTTGAATAACGTCCTATCTCACTTGAAGTAAATGAGCGATATGTAATATATATGTAGTACACATAACATGTACTTATTATGTGCATCGTAAATAAAATCGCAAATTTTTTTGAATATTTTTCTTTGTTTACTTTTAAATCGTGGAGGATGGTGCGCAGAAGTCCAGTGGGCAAAGCTTTTGACTGCCATTCACATGGGAGTGGCCAAAGTGATTCTTTTGTGTACGGTTCAAATCGCAGCTCACTACGTCCAAATATTTATTTCGACGTATCGTTTCAGTAGCGACCAAACAACCGTTTGGGAGCGAGTTAAAGTGAAAAGGCGTAAAACCTCGCATGCGCTGGGTTTTGGGTCCCGCCACGTTAAAACCCCGCCCAATGACAAAAAAACAACATGCCTCGGATGAGACCCCATTTTGACGACAGCGGCAAACGTATAAAGGTATGTTTTGAGGGTATGAACCCGGAACGTCCGGACCGTTAATGGGCAAGGTGCCCATGCCGAGTTGGTTGATGTCCTCGTAAGGATAAAAGCTGACATCGCCACCACTCAAGATGCCGATGGACGGAGCAAGTTAAGGGAAACGTGGAGCGTCTATTTACCACGGCAGCCGGTTCTACGTACCAGAATGACTCGGGTTTTGGCCGAAAAAAGTGCTGTTGTTTCGCCGATCTAACCCCGTTTTGGTCGGTGGAATTTCTCAGACGTTCGTTCATAGGGTTACATCACTTCGTACTCTTCTACTTAGGGCTGGCATCGAGTCAAACCCTGGGCCAGAAACTTAGGCCTCCTGCGTGTACCACAGACGACTACACCACAACTCCACCTCAGTCAAGTGAAATGCTTGCAATGGGTGGAGTCACTTCAGAGTCTGCTCAGGCCTACGGACTCATCGGCAGTGGGCCACATCATGTGTGCCATCTGCTGCTTAAGCAGAGCAGCCTCCACGTCACACTCCATTCCGCCTGAGTAGCTCAACATAAACACCACAGCACCACAACACAATAGAACACACCACAACCACGACAGTCCACACAATAGATAGTTCCTCCAACAATCTGCACGGTGTGCCAGACCAGGATATTCCATAATGAGTCAAGTGCAACGCCTGCCTTGGCTGGTAGTGCTACTTGAGGGGACGTTTAGGTCTGTGCACCCCGTGAGATTGGACGAGAAATTTCGCGAGCCGGTTTTGCGCTGAACTGTCGGCAAGTCCCAGAAACGGCGCCGCCCCCTACACCACAGGCACCCCACAGCAGCGCACACAACCNTCCTCCAACAATCTGCACGGTGTGCCAGACCAGGATATTCCATAATGAGTCAAGTGCAACGCCTGCCTTGGCTGGTAGTGCTACTTGAGGGGACGTTTAGGTCTGTGCACCCCGTGAGATTGGACGAGAAATTTCGCGAGCCGGTTTTGCGCTGAACTGTCGGCAAGTCCCAGAAACGGCGCCGCCCCCTACACCACAGGCACCCCACAGCAGCGCACACAACCAACGGCGGTCAGACAACACACATCTCTCACCCCTCACATAACAATAAGGCTCCCTAGGCACACGAAGCTCCTACAATTGAACTGTAGTGGACTACAGAGCAAGATGGAGGAGATGGGCCGGCATTNCAACGGCGGTCAGACAACACACATCTCTCACCCCTCACATAACAATAAGGGTCCCTAGGCACACGAAGCTCCTACAATTGAACTGTAGTGGACTACAGAGCAAGATGGAGGAGATGGGCCGGCATTGAATATTGATCGCTGCGGTCCAAGAGACGAAGTTGCACAGCAATTCAACATTGCTGAATTGTGCCGGATAGCATGTGCCCCGTCGAGATCGTGAGCGAGATAATGGTGGGTGGTGGCCTAGCGTTCATCACGCACCACACCGTGTAGTATCGTCTTATTGAAGAAGCCATCGACCGCACGGATACCTTTCCCAGAATGTCGGGGTATTGCTATCCGATCAAGCGATGTCGCTCGATTTATTTAAAGTTTATATAGCCCCTGTCACCATCTGCCCGGCAGGATATCACCCTGAAATAGGTGCGCTCCTCAGAGGTGAAAACCGTATGGTAGTTGGCGACTTTAACGCGCACCACGATCTTTGACATTCAAGCCTGTCAAATGGTCGTAGGGGAACAGACTAGGCTGAGTAGATAGACGATTCGACGCCGCACCTACAGGATTATGGGCCAGTGCTGCAGCTCGCCAGACATAACAATCGTCAGCGCTGGTCTGACAAACAGCATATCATGGCGACCTATGCTGACCTTAGCATCATACCATCTGCCCATAGTCATCTTGATCGATAAACCTGCCAACTTTGATTCCGCGGAACACCAGACCTATATCAACTGTACTGTTCTAAAGCTGATTGGAAAGGCTTCGCGGAATTTACTGAAAGCACCTTAATTGCACTTCCTACACTAACCGACGTTCACGTAGGTGAGCGTAAGTTCCGCAGGGTTGTCACTGCTGCAGCTCGCTTCGTTCCAGCTGGATGTATAACGAACCCCTGTCCGAACTTTCCTGCTGAAGCGTCTGTTCTAGGCGATGAGCGTGACAGCCTTCCTCAGCCCGATCCCTTAAATCCCCGCATCAGGGGTCTCAATATGGAGGTTCGGCAACTTGTGAACGTACATAAGCGGAAAAAGCTGGAGAGTTGCAATTTCACCTCTGGTGACGCGACGACAGACTGAACATCTTTCGGTGACCACGCCTAGTCGGATCCGGAGCGATGCGGGAGCTATTTTAGCCGCCAGTTTACACTGCATCGTTTGGCGGACAAAACCAAACGTAGAGTGACCAGAAGGCTGCACAAACTGCGAACAATAAGTGTGCCTATTGTTTCCACTTGCGGTGGAGTTTAGGTAGCCATCTGGAAAGCGCAGGCCTAAAAAGCCGTGTGATCAGACGGAATATCCATGTTATGGTGAAAAATTTGGGTCCTGCGGTAGTAGACTATTTAGCCAAGGTTCTCAACCTGTCAAAGACCACTTTCGTCATTCTAGACATCTGGAAGATAGGGAGAGTGGTCTTACTGCTCCCATTCCCTGGAAGCGAAGACACCAGAGGTCTTGGTACTCCCATATTTGCGAATGCGCTAATCACTCTGATAACACGTAGCGTAAACCGCAACCGCCCCTGTGAGCGAAATATTCTAGTAGCGTTGAATCTGCCAAAGGCTGGCAGACATAGGGGCCTCCAGAGGAGCCGCGCCAAGGCATGTCGGAAGGTATCTGTACGAACAGACGGATGAAGTCCAGAGGTTCATAAAGTAAGTCAAAGCCGACGGACGTGTTTTTGATCGCTCATCGAAAAGTGATAAAATACACATATTAATGAGAGTTTAAATTACGTACATATTGAGTACAAGGGTTTAATAATTTTGAATATTTTTGCGAAAGTGAAGTATACAAATAAACACTACTAAAATTATTAAAAAAAATATAGGCAACAAAACAAATATACGTACATACCAACGTTCGCTGTAATAAACAAATTAAATGTAGCGGTAAGTGGGAGAGTGACGGAGTGCGGAAGATGCCGAAAAGGCATCAGAGGAGAAACCGGTGTGAGTTGTGCTGGTGTGGGTGGGAGAGTGTACCACAAAACAATTGCGTGTGCACAAATAGACGACTGCACTACTGAGATATGCAAGCAAAAAGATGACATTGTTAGGAAGTTAAAGTTGCTAAAGCCACTCGAGCCATGTGGGCCTGCAGAAGACTTTTTGGTAGGAAATGGGGGTTGAGCTCAAGGCTGATTGAGTGGCAGAAGACAATGCCAAAAACTGCATTAACAAGCTGCAAAGATTGCGGCTCTAGAGTCGCTCCTGGGATGGACTCCTCCATATTTTTATTCAGGAATCAGCAGCCACGAGGGAGCTGCAACTTCGACTATCTAACGACGGCTTCTTCGTAAAGAAGCCTCATGCAGGTATTCTTGGGAAGATACCAGCGTTGGATATATGCGGAATCTCTGATTCCATGACTAAGGAGGTCTGCTTTGGCAGAAAATTCTAAGTGATAATCTCCGATCGCGAAGATTGCGCAAATGGGCTCCCTGCCCTTGATCTCAGATATGTACACTGGTACAAGGATGGCGGACAGAGCGGGTGCAGGCATCTTTGGACCTAGCACCAAACTTACAATTCCCATGGGCAAATGGTCCACGGTGTTTCAGGCTGAAATAGTCGCAATCTTAAACTGCGCAAAATTAAACTTTGAAAAGGGTTTAAAGGGCGCTTTTTTAGTTATCTTTTCAGATAGCCAAGCTGCCATCCGGGCCCTTTCAAACAGGACTATTAAATCTAAGTTGGTTAGAGACTGCTTTAACACGCTACAATTTTTGGAGCCAAAAACACGGTAACATTGTGCTGGGTACCAGGCCATTCTGGAATCGAAGGCAACGATATCGCTGATGAGTTGGCACGTGAAGGATCGCTTACTGCCTTTTCGGGACCTGAACCATTCTGTGGTCTTAGTTGGTCCTCTGCGAGAGCCATAATCACTGAGTGGGCACATTCAGAACGCAGTAAGTACTGGGGAGCGGTGGGGGACCTTAGACAGGCAGGCTATTCGGCTACCCCTTTAATAGGAACGACATCGTCCTACAAAACAGAACTGACATCAGGTTACTTTCTGGGTATCTGACTGGTCACAGCCAATTGCGGTTCCACTTACACCGAATAGGGGCGATCACAGAGCGGGAATACCGGCTCTGTCTCGAGGCCGATGAAACTTCGGAGCATATTCTCTATAACTGTCCGGCTTTAGCCAGACAAAGACTGATTTATTTTAAATCTTCGTTGGCCGAACCCTTTGTTATAAGGAATTCGTCTACCAAGGCCCTTTTACGATTCATAAGGGAAGCCGAAGGTATCTTGGCCACATTGGGTAAAGGACTCGTTTATAGAGATACAAAAGATCTTTTAGGTCGCGGTGTCTCTGTTCTATTACACCCAGTAAATTAACTAATTAACTAACTAACTGCGGAAGTTAAGAAAACTGCATGTCAGAATAAAGAAAACTCACAACGTAGTGTGGGTGCATCGTATGCTAATGCAGTAAAAGGCGTACCTCCAATAAAAATTAAGCCGAAAAATAAGCAAAC